AACCGTAGATTTTAGTAGAGTATCTATTTAACGAATACGAGGTACTAACTAAGGCTTATTATATTACGTAATTATATCCTAATAAAACTCCTACTTGTCACGAATCACTTGTTCACGTGATACTTGTCATAATAAGAGGCGCAACCCTCGACAGGCACATTCAGGTTTCTTATAGCAAATAGGGATCGCTTAGGGTAGCTAAGCGATCCAAGGATTTCTTCCTTGCAGGAGATCATGTGACTAGGGAGTATGAGGGAGTATAAGGGAGGCTTATACTACTCTATACTACCGGAGTATAAGGAAGTATAAGGAAGGCTTATACTACTCTATACTCGGACCATACGCGGGGTATGAAGGTTCTATATAAGACTGGCACGTCTGCCATTAGATAGGAGCTTCGTGCTCAACTTAGTTATCAATCTTATCATATTAGTTTGACATCTTTGATACAAGTAACGAGTTCACTTCCAAGTGAACAACCCGATAGTCTTCTTCTTATCATAGCATACCAAACAGCGAACACCCAGCCAAGTTTAGTTAGCCAGTTTGAGTATTCGTTACAAACGCTTTCTTATAATTAATACTTATACTCTTCGTTAATAAGAAAAGTAGTAGTATTGTATCAGTAATAGAAAATCGGTTAGTTATTTACTATATTACTTAGTTATATATTAACTAGCGAGTACTCCGCTAAATAAGAACTTAGTAGTATATTCCTAGTAAGTAAGAAAGAAAGAAAGAAAGAAAATATAGTTCTATTATATTCTATCTATCTATTAATCTACTACCTCTAATAAAACCTATTCTATTCTATTCTATCCTATTATATTAACCCTTTCCGCTTCTTCTTGTGACGGTTCTCACCGCCACCACGCTACAATCCAGCCCTGGCTGGAACCCGGCGGCCACCATGCGTCAAACGAGCCCCTGGCTGAGACTCGGCTAAGGCATGGCCCTTGGCGCCACCTCCTGTATTTAAGAGCCTCTGGCTCTTAAGCTTCTGTCCATCCTTCTCTTCTCTCCTTAGCTTAGAATCTTCGAATAGACAGTTCTACGATTCCATAACCTACACCTTGGACGCTCCTTGAGCAACATATCGTACGTGTCGTCACACTTCTCCTTCTCCTTCTCCTTCTTCTTTCCCTCTTCCTCTCTCCTAATCTTATATCTAAAAACTCTAACTCCCCCCCTCTAAACTATCTCACTTACCTAACTTACTTACCTACGTACCCAACTCTCTAACTCCTCTAAAAAAATATAATCCTAATAAAACCTATAATAATATTCCCCTTATATCTAACCCTCCTCCTTATTCTATTCTCTCTCTAACTCTCTAACGTAATTAACTAAATTATACTTAACTTAATTTAATTTAGATTAGCGACTTTAGTAAATTAAATAACGTGGTTTATCAGCGAGTCGATCATATCAGCGAGTCGATCACTTTTCCTTGGCACTACCTCCTCAAACTTCAACACACGTTTTCTTCAACTATTTACCATGGAAATTCAAACTCAAGAAGCGCGAATTACTCTAGCTATCGAGGTTATTCGGTCGTCCAAAAAACTAAGCAAACGCTCTGCGGCAAAGATCTACAATGTACCATATACGACTCTTTCCGACAGAATGGCTGGCCGAACCTACCGCCCAGATTCTCAAGCCAATTGTCATAAGTTGACTGAGTTAGAAGAGGAAGTGATTATTCGGTATATACTGGATATGGATTCCTGAGGATTTGCGCCCCGGCTCGCTGGTGTAGAAGATATGGCTAATTTTATCCTTGAATCGCGGGGGGGAAGACGCGTCGGCAAGCTCTGGGCCCATCGATTCGTACAACGACAACCAGACCTTAAGACGCGTTTTAATCGCGTTTACGACTTCCAGAGGGCCTTATGCGAAGATCCTGACGTGCTAGGCGCATGGTTCCGGCTAGTAGAGAATATGAGGGCGAAATATGGGGTTACAGACTCCGACTTCTACAACTTCGACGAGACAGGCTTTATGATGGGTGTTATTTGTCCTAGAATGGTTGTTACTCGTGCAGACCGACGTGGTAGAGGCAAGGCAGTTCAGCCAGGCAATCGGGAATGGGCTACAGCAATTGCCTGTATTAATGGGGAGGGCTGGAGTATTCCTCCATTCTTGGTAGTTCAGGGCAAGAACCATCTCTCCAACTGGTATACCGACGGCGGCCTCCCACCTAACTGGGTTATGAAACCGACAAGCAATGGTTGGACAAATAATGAAACAGGCCTGGAATGGTTAAAGCACTTTGATAAACACACTACAGCTCGTGCAAAGGGTCTGTATCGAATACTAGTTTTGGATGGGCACGAGAGTCATGAATCGGCTGAGTTCCAAGACTACTGTACGAAACACAACATTATTACTCTTGGACTACCTCCTCATTCATCCCATCTAACCCAGCCACTTGATGTTGGGTGCTATAGTGTGTTAAAACGAGCGTATGGTCGGCAGATTGAGACGTTTATCAAGGCCCATATCAACCATATTACAAAGGTTGAGTTCTTTCTAGCCTTTACAGCAGCATACAAGGAAACAATGACAGTCCTAAACTGTCAGTCTCGATTCCGCGGAGCTGGCCTAGTACCATTTAACCCGCAAGCAGTGCTTTCAAAGCTTGACGTAAGGTTACGGACTCCAACTCCCCCTCGGACGTGTAGTGCCAACTCCCTCCCCTGGGTGTCCCAGACCCCTTCCAACCCAACTGAAGCCCTTTCACAATCAACTCTTGTACGAAATCGTATAGCCTGTCATCAAGGATGCTCGCCAACTCCACTTTTTCAAACAGTTGCTGCGTTAGCAAAGGGTACAGAGCGAATGGCACATGAGATGACCCTTTTGTCTGCTGAGGTCCGTACCCTTCGCGCTGCAAATGAAGCCCTAAGTAAACGCCGTAGGGCTAAAAAGACTCGTGTCCGCCAAGGAGGTGCACTTATAGTAGAGGATGTACAGGATATTTTAGCTCAGGAGGATGTAGATGAGCAAGTACGACGCGACATGCGTGAGGCGGGGGTTGGTTATAAGGAGGGGCAACCTTCTAGGCGGCGCTGTAGAACTTGTGGAAAAGCTGGTCATAACGCGCGAACTTGTCAAGAAGTTATAGATATATCTAGTTCGTCAGATATAGAGAGCGATAATCAATTTAATATATTGTGGTTGATTTATTTAGGTGTAAAGTTCTGTGCCAAGAAAAAGTGATCGACTCGGTGATATGATCGACTCGCTGATAAACCACGTTAGTAGTAATCTCTCTAATCTATGCGCGCTTACTAATTAGTATTAGTATAGGAGATACTTGTAAATAAGAGTATAAAACAGTAGTAACAAAAGTATAAAACAGTAACAAAAGTATATAAAAGTTAGTATAAGTTAATAGTTAATTAATTAATTAATAACTTATAGAAAGGACGAGTACTAGCTATAAGTACTCGTATATGTCACGGATGCCAACAAAGGATAAAGTGTATACAGCTTTTGAATCAATTGCTAGAACTAAAACCGTAGGTACGAAGAAATCAAACTAAAGAGAGAAGAGAATCTGAAAGGAGCGAAGTTATTTAAGTTGTTCCAATGCCAAGTCTCGTCACGTGCTTGGCCAAGCGAATGAAATCCTGTCAAATGAAATCCAGCTCCGTCACAGTATATACTAAGCTTTCCGATATCCACGTAATAAAAGTGGTAGATATATCGCAACAACCAGGTATATGAGTACACATGGAAAATGATGCTTTCTTCAGTGAGTTCCAGGTTCCATTCATCATGGCCGTCACAGGGAGGTACGCAGCCGGTCATCAACTCTCATCATACTTTCGGCTCTTGAACTCTATAACAATGCTTAAACGTCCTGTTGAGTCCCGTCTAACATCAATTCTTATCCAAATTTTAGCGAGAGAATAACAATACACAAGTATCATTCGAATGGAGTCTCACTCGACCCCCTTCTATCATCCTCGCATGAAACGAAACGGGTTTCGCCATAATACCCCACGAAATATCTCATTGAGAGCCAACCTATCTCCTGCACCGCCCGGCGTAACTCGAAAGTGGGTCAAGGACGTGCTAACCTAGGTAGAAAAACGACATATAGATTTATACCAAGAGTTACGACGTCTTCTAAAAAAAACAGCTTAAGCTAAGTTCTTTCCGTAGTCTTGATTGAGCTATAGTATGTGATTGTTTATATTATAAACAGAAGTACTTATATTTTACTAATTAGATAGAAATCTTATTAGAAATATACTATATAGTCACGTTCTAGTCCTGTGATTATATATCTCCTTACCAAGATTCAGTACAATTGATAGCTTGGCAGTGCCACCAGGTGCCAAGGTGTCAAGGTGTCAAAATTAACCTGTATTTTATGCCTTAAATAATTCTACGCGAGGGTGCTTAATCATTGTTAAGAGTTACGCCGGGCGGTGCAGGAGATAGTTCAAAATTCGCTACATAACTCTCCTGTCAGTCTGCTACGCGGCATGAGCAGATACGAATTCGTTCTCTCGAAACGATCGCTTCCAGGGCCAATGCTATCGATTGGAATGAGTATTGAGTAGGGTAGCGGGTGTGGTGTATAATTTTCCCTTCCTTGTCTTTAAACTGACTCATCAGATGGTAATCAATAGCTCAAGCTCACATAGCTTCATATCAAATGTGTAGTGCTGGATAAAAGAATGCCAATTTCCTTCTCTTGACCAGGCAGCTAGCGAAAACACAGATACATTTAATAGTCACGGCCAATGATATAAAAAGGGATCTCATAAGAAACAATCTATCTTAAATTATGTAATTGAAGTTTTCCGTCGTTGTTAATATCAGATTAAGCAATCTTTTTGGCATTTTGCTCGTGGTTCAACGATGGTTCCAGCATTCTTCAAATTCGTACAGTAATTAGTCTATGACGCGGTGCAACAATACCGTGGCGCAGTTTTCCAGCAATGAAATTTTAGCAAACTTTTGAAACACCACCAACAACAACAATGGATACCAGCATATACGGCATCCTAAGAAACATAACTCCTGTAATTATTTTAGCTATCAAAACCGCGATTCTTGCTTTTTTTGGCCTCTCGCCTAACGCTGACGTTCAAGATATCGCCACAGAAATAATCACCACTCTTGCTAGACCGATTCTAGGTACTCCTGCATCCTTGTTGAAATCGCAAATCCAACTGAATTACGATTGGGGAGTAAGAGGTCGTATATGGTTGGCAAAATGTTGTGTCTCTAGTTCTCATGGTGTATCTGATGTTGAATCTGATCAGAAAGAAGGGGTGGTTGGGTTGAAAACAGCGCTAAGGCTGGCTATCGAAGAGCTGGGGGATGGAACAGATATTTGTAGTGAGGGGTATAAGATCCCTGAGATTGTTGATGTGGAAGCTGAGTGGGTTGGCTATCGAGGTGGGGTTTGGCATACTGCTAAGAGACCGGATTGGTCAGAGAGAGCTCAGTATGAGGCCATGATGAAGGAAGTAGAGGATAATAACGACGGCAAAACACCCACAATGTTATATCTTCACGGCGGCGCTATGTGGTGCGTACAAGCCTATGGTCTCCTTTTTCATCAGTTCCACAAATTTGGCTAAGCACCATTATTTTCAAATATCTTTTCGGTGACTTCAATCAACTAACTATGACTATAGTTTGATGGATCCCGCTACTCACAGATGGCCAATTTCAGATTTAGCAAAAGCATCATCTGGTCGGTGCTTCTCTGTTCGGTATCGTCTATCGCCACAAAGTGTCTTCCCCGCCGCGCTCTTGGACGCAATAATGTGCTATCTTTACTTAATATCACCTCCTCCGGATTCATTTCACAAACCAGTCCCGCCTTCTCAAATTGTCATAGCAGCAGATTCATCTGGTGGGGGAATAGCTGCATCGCTTGTCCTTCTTCTTTTAACACTTCCACGCATCGGAATAACCCATATACGCTTTGCCAACCAAAACGTTCCAGTCCCAATAACACAGCCATTAGCAGGTCTAGCACTCACTTCTCCTTGGCTCGACATATCCCGCTCTCTCCCTTCAGTCACACGCAATGCGAGATACGACATAATCGCACCCCCAACACCCTTACAAATGACCCCTAATTTCCCTCCGGATAAGATTTGGCCAGCTAGTCCACTGCGAGTAGAGACTTACTGCGTTGCAAATATGGTCTCACATCCGCTTGTTTCTCCCCTAGCTGCGAAGTCAAAACTTTGGAAGGGTGCCCCACCACTATACCTATGTGTAGGCTGGGAAAGTATGCAAGATGAAGGGGAAGTATTCGCTAGACGATTTCATGAGGCCGGTTCTGTGGTCTACTTTAGGGGTTACGTAGGGATGCCGCATTGTTTTGGTATGGTGCCGTGGAACTGGATGGGAAGAAAGGCCATGCGAGAATGGGGGGAATTCTGTAAATCGGTTGTTGGGAGGGGAAACGAAATGACAAGTTTGGCTTCTTGGACGGGCAAGGACGGGCAAGTTTCGAAGGTAGATCCTGAGAAGCTGGGGTTTGAAATTAAGGGAGTCAGGCCTGCGTTAGACGATGCCTTCGTGGACATGTCTATGAAAGAGCAGAAGCGCTGGAGAATAGTGGCTGAAAATGAGATGAGAGCTCAGTGGGGGGAAAAGCGCAAGATATGAACCAGTTAGCGGTTCTTTTCATTCGTAGACCCATATCAGGTTTGTTGTATATATAATAAATTGACTCCTTAGATAACAGGAAAATCGAGACAAATTTACAACATTCAAGACATCCTCAACAAATCCTGGTTTCGTGTGAAAGCCTTCGGCTTGATACTCCAGCAGAATCAGTCAAGCCCAAAAGATAATATCACTAATCAAGGGACTATATCAATCACAGCATTTCACGCCAAAACCAGATATTCACAGCACAACTTCGCCTATTTTTGCTTAGAATATAGCAGATACATTGGATCGCTTAGTTTCTGGCGCATGCGAGGGTAACGGAGGGGGGTTAGTTGTTCCGTCATGACTGCGTCTATAAGTCGATAGCGCTAGCCCCAGCACATATCCGTAATTGCCAGCGCTAAATCTGATTACCATTGTACCCAGGCTTGCGCAGCAGGGCTTCTCATATTCTCGGCCTAAGACCACACCATCCAAGCCAAAAGCAAGACGGCTCCACGAACCATCGAAGAGTACAACGAACGATAGCCTGAGGATTGATTGTCGAGTCATAATTCGTTTTTCTGGGAGAAACATAAAACGGGGCGGGTTATGTGATATCTAAATTGACTCTCGCGTATCATTCATTATAGAAATGATCTAGTATAATGATTTGGGGATATGAAAACTTATGTACCAGGATAGTCGTTAATCTTTTCTCTTATATTATCAATCTAATATTCTTTTGCTTGACTCGTTTCTTTTAATTGGCATATAACCATTTTCTAATGTTTCTAGTTTCAGCTTTCGATAGTATCTTTGACATCTCGTTGGCATCAGAATGTAGATTTCTGTAATGAGACTGTTCAAATCTACAATTTAGAGCGCTTCGAGATCTACCAACACAACCTTTGCTGGTATCACATTACCACCGCTGCAATGAATTAGCATGTTTCTTCTTTACCAAATAAGGAGAGATTTAATATTGGAAAGACAGCGTTTTCATGTATGGGAAACAGGAAATATTAACATACGTTGTAGCATATAGCACCTTCTTATCAGTCTCCCCTCTCCCAAAAGCCACTGCGCTATCACTTTCCAGGATCGTCTCATTCTGACCTCCAGCGATTGTGGTCACGGTCCCATTCAGGTCTATACGCTCTACTGAATTGCGGGAGCTAGTTGCGGAGTAAACGACACCCTCTTTATCCAGCGTGAAGTCGTCATTGCTACCATTCTTTGAAATGATTTCAGCTTTTCCAGTCGCAACTCCTGCATTTGGACCTGATATTTTGATGCCGACCTTTGCAACAAAGCCTCCGTCTAAGAATGTGTTGGTGAAGTAGAGCGTACTTCCGAGAATGTGAAGCCCGTTGACACCGATAGCAAATGGATTTCCTGGTTGCGGCAACATGAGCAGATCCTCGATGATAGATTTGTACTCCCCAGTACGAGTATCAACCCTCCAAACTCGTCCAAGTCCCGAATCTGCAACGAGAACATATGGACTATTAGGTGCCACGGCAGTAACTCCATTATTGGGAACAGCCTCTGGCATAGAAGTAATTTTTGTCGTGATTGCTTTTTCGGTTACATTGCCTTCAGAAGACTCAAGAGACCGAAAGTCGACTTTCCAGATAGAATAGGATCCTGGTAGTGGTGAGGCTACAGCAAGACTCCAACAGAAACAAAGAAGATATCTTGTTCGATTTCCGCTATTCCAAGTACGCCTGTTGAGCCAGGAAATTCGGCAACGAGGGCTGCTTTTTCGGGCTTTTGGGGATCAATTTGATACATTTGGGCTGCTGGCGCGACCATATTCACGATGATTCTTCCATTCGATCGTACGGCGATATTTTCGGCAATAGGACCACTTGGAAACTGGTGAAGTATCCGGACTGCTGCTTCCTTGGATGCTGGTAATGCAAGTGCATTGGTCAAATGAGTGAGGGCAAGCGCCTCTGGTCGATTTACCACACATATACGTCGACAAAAGATTTCTTCGAATTCCATCAATCCCGCTTAACCAAACGATAGCAGCTAGAATTTCAACTACTCCCCTCTCCTCCCAGGAAGTCTGCCCCTCTGGTGGCAGAGATATATCCGTTAAAAGATCACGTGAAAATTTTTCACCCCCTCTTTCTGACCTCTCACAACCCCTACACCACCAACGCCGCTACTATGGCGACCCAAACACAGTCAACCCCGGAATGGCAACAAGAAGTCATAGAAGGAACAGCCTACGAACCCATGCAACTCTTCAACGAGCCCACGCTCCCCATCAGCCCAATTTACCCAATTATCACCCTGGGAACTCCAATCCCCCAAACACCTAGCGCCAATGGCCAAGACTACCTCCTAGGAGGCTATGCGCCATCCAGCCCAGTTAACCACATCCAACGAAACCAAAACAACCCTAGCTTTATAGACATTAGCACGCCAAACAACTCCCAAAGAATCAGAGAAACCCAGCCTCAAGCCAAAAGACAAAGAAGCAACCAATCCTTGAACTTAACCTCAAAATACGCCCTCATGTCCCACCCAGAAACCTCCGATGACGCAATTATAGCATCTAGGTCCCTTCTGTGTAAGGCGATTGAGCTTGAAGACAACCAGCCCAAGAAACTCGCTCTCATGGACCTACTCAACCTCTTCCGGGACTATACCGAGGGAAAACCACTCAAAAACACAATTACCACCCTTACCAACTCAGTCAACAACCTAGAGAACATCGCAAGGCGCCTTCCTAAAAGAAGCTACGCATCGGTAACCACAAACAACAAACCTACCACAGACACAGACACAGACAACAGTACTCAAGGCCTCATAGACCGGCAACTCAACCACGCTCCTCCTCAAAAAACAAACATGGACAAGAAGAGAGACGCTTTTAAAAAAGCTGCTACTGAGAAAAAGAAAGCCATTAAAGCCCAGCGTCTCATTCTCATCGAAGACCACCTTCAACCATTTAGCGACTTACAACCAATTACCCTCAGAGACACTATTAACAAGGAATTCAAAGCTCATTTTAATGTCAGCCCCGCAATTAGCACAGTCTCCAGATCACGAAACAACAACCTTGTCCTTACAGCAGCAGAAGAATACAATGCTAAATTCCTGCTTGACAGAATCGGAGCTGTCCAAAAGGTACTTAAATTCAAAGAGGCAAGAGTCGACGCTATCAAATACCAAGTAGTAATCCACGGCATCCCAATTAAAGAATTCAACTCTCTCGCTGGCCTAGCACAACTCAAAGATGAGATCCTCACTTTTAATAAGAGCCTCAACCTAGAAATCTCGACGACATCCCTCACTGGCTTACCTCAAAAGATAAACGAGATAGCGGCCTACAACACCAAGGATCAATCGTTGTAGCTTTCAAGGAAGA